TGGCTCTGGTGTCCGATGCTCCACGCGTGAAGGAGTCCCTGTCCCCACCTCACCATTTGTCCCCAGCCCAGAGGCATGTCCCCACGTGCCTGCGGGGACACAGCCCATGCGAGGTGCATGCACATGTGGGCGCGTGCCTCTCTCCAACCCCAAATCATTTGGTGGTTGCAGCAGCTGGCTGGGAGGGGGAAGCCACACTCAGCCCCAGGCAGAGTCCGGCCCTGGGGGGGATGCTCCGGAGCTGCTGCGCAGATTAAAGGGAGCCCTTGACCACGAGGCTCCAGCCCCAGGGTGGGCATGGTATGCGAGCAATGCGGGCAATCCAGCAGGACGGGTGGCTCCTCCAGCACAGGTTGGGCAGGCAGGACCCTGGCTCATCCCAGGAGGTCAGGGTCTACAGTGAGACTCGAGTCCCCAAGTGCCTGAGCTCTGCCTGGCCTGCTCCTGCGACATCGGGCACTGGCATCCCCAGCCCCAGCACCGCTGGCATCCTCACGGCACCACAGTGCGTGGAGCACCCAACTCATCCCCCCTGCACTGGGGCGCGGTGCCCAGGGACGTCCCAGTGTGGGCAGTGGCAGCTCCAGAGCCCGTCGCGCCGAGCAGTTGGCTCAAGTGACTGGATCACATCGGTAACCACAGTGTTTGGAAAAACTAAGATTATCTCGGGCCCTGTTATCTTTTCCAGAGGCCCGGGATTAAGCTAGGGTGGGGGAACAGTGCAATGTCCATCTGTCTGTCCTCGCAGTCTGTCTGGCCTCTTGCTGCACCTGAATGCAGGAGGGACTTCGGAGAGAGCGGGGAGGGAATGTGTGCGGGGGCTCACGGGTTAAAGGAGAGGTCAGGCAGTGACCAGGTCATTGACATCAGCACTGGCATTGGTATTGGCCACTGGATACAGCTGGTTGTGCCAAAATGCTGCCATCACTGCGTGGCCCTGCAGGCCCCACTGCCCTGCCTGCGCCTGGCACCCCAGTCCCCACTGGGGCAGCGGGGGCACTGGGACGCCTCAAGGCCACCTCTGCCCCCTGCAGCCCCGACCCATGGAGCCCAGCCAGCAGCACAGGCAGCGCAGGCAGCAGGACATTGGCAGGGCTGGGACTGAGGGCTGCTGTGTGAACGCTGGCTTGGTGGTGGAGCACAAGGTGGGGTGGGTTTTGGGGTCTGCCCCCTCCCAGCCCCGGGCAGCACCGTCTCTCCTCCGCGGGGAACCAGCAGCCACTCCAACCGGTTTGTGGGTCTGGGTGGTGACACTTCCTGCCCGAGGGCCGGTGGAGGGCTGGGAAGAGCTGGTACGGACGCCAAGGAACAAACAAGAGCTGCTTGTGTCCTGCCGGGCAGGGAGCCCAGCGGCAGGGCAGGGATGGCATCCTGCTCCCCTGGCACAGGGCTGCGTGGGGGCCAGAGGCTGGACCACTGCTGGAGCAGCTGCCCCACGAGCTGGGGGGAAACTGAGGCACGAAAGAATGGAGGGGCCCATCCAGGTGATGGAGCAGGAGGCACTGGCAGGGACAGCAGAGACATCCCGATGCCCAGACACTGGCTCTTCCCCTTCAGCATCCCAGGCTGAGCCCTGGTGGCTGCCCCTGGCATCTCCTGCCTGCCCAGGGGCAGCAGTGGGATGCTCTCCTGCACCTGGGTGGCCCAATCCCGGTCCCCCGGCATCCTCCTCCCCTGGGAGCAGCCAGGGTATTAAGTGCCATAGCTTCGGGGAGAAGTGCAAGCGGAGGAATCCCGGGAAACTGGTTTTACCCCTCCATCCGGTGCTGGCGGCAGGACGGCGGCAGCGGCCGGCGCTCCTCCCTCGGCAAAGGCATATAACGCCGTGCCATGGTCCCGGCAGCCAGCACTGCGCTGCGGGAGGCGGGCAGGGGTGCAGGCAGCGAGCGATGGCCTCCATGGGGCTGCAGGTGCTGGGCATTGCCCTCTCCGTCATCGGCTGGGTGGGCTCCCTCCCTCTCCTGCGGGGTCCCCTGTCGGCCTTCATCGACGTGAACATCGTGGTGGCGCAGACCATCTGGGAAGGGCTGTGGATGAACTGCGTGGTGCAGAGCACGGGGCAGATGCAGTGCAAGGTCTACGACTCCATGCTGGCCCTGCCACAGGCCCACCATGCCGCTCGCTCCAGGGTGGTGGTGTCCATCGTCTTGGCCATCCTGGGCACCCTGCTTGCCGTCGCCGGCGGCAAGTGCACCAACTGTGTGGAGGACGACACCGCCAAAGCCAAAGTCATGATCCTCTCTGGTGTCATCTTCATCATCGCCGGTGTCCTCGTCCTCATCCCTGTCTCTTGGTCAGCCAACAGCATCATCCGGGACTTCTACAACCCGCTGGTCACCGACTCCCAGAAGCGGGACCTGGGGTCGTCCCTCTACGTGGGCTGGGCAGCCTCTGCGCTCCAGCTGCTGGGGGGGGGATCCTCTGCTGCCCCTGCCCCCCCCGGGGTGAGAAGCCCTACTCCGCCAAGTTCCCTGCCGCTCGCTCGCTGCCAGCCAGCAACTACGTCTAGGATCCGCTGAGCCCACCTGGATCTCCCAGCCTCACCGGGGAGCCGGTACCTCCCGGGGCGCCCCTGGCCCCCAGACACCCCCCCCCCCCCCCAGCTGGGCTGGGGGCTGGCTGGGGGCCGGGGCGGGGCGAGGGAGGGCAGACAGAGCTGCCTTTGTTCGCTGGGGATTGAAGCTGGTTCTTTAATCTCAGTTGAGACAGGGAACAGAGAGAGCCTGTCCTGGCTGCCCCCCCGGTGGGGGTCCCGCTCCCCCCAGAGCACCCAGCTGTAGCGTCTTCTCTGAGACACCATCGTGTGTCCCCTGGAGCATCTCCTGGCTCCCGGTATCGGGGTGTGCCGCAGCTCCCAGCACTCCTGGGCACCGGTCCCGTGGGTGGCACAGGGCTCTCACCTGGTAAAACCCCCCCAGGATGCGTCCTTCAGGGTGGGTGGCGGTGCCGGTGGGGACAGCAAACCTGTCCCATGTGGTCCTGGGGATGTGGTGGGTCTGCAAACCCTGGCAGGGTCTTGAGGGGCAGCAGGGGCTCTCGCCTGCACGTACCCTGGATTTTGGTGCTGACCTACTTTCGGAGCTCGGAGCGGTGGTACAAACGTGTGATTTCTTGCGGCAGCTCCCTGAGGCGGGGGCATCATTATCCTGGGAGTGGGAAGGCAGCGGCCAGGCTGGGAGAACCGGTTGGGAAGGTAGGAGCGGAGCAGGGCTGTGCACCCGCATGGAGGGGAGCAGCTCCCAGACCCGACCCCGTCCCGTGGGGTGCACCCAGCCCCATGGTCTCCCCCGGCATTCCCTGAGTAGGGTGCCCCGGCAGGAGGGGATGGCTCGCGATGCCCCCCTGGGCTGTGCTGCCATCCGTCCCCATGTCGCAGCCTTCCCCCATTAAATGGCAGCTCCTCAGACCCTGCTGTGCTTCGTTTTCTTTACCCTCTCCAACACCTGCCTCAGCGGGGGGGCAGCCTGGTGCTCCTGTGCCGCAGACCCCTGTCCTCCTGACATCCCCCAAATCTGCTCTCCAGAGCCTCCCGTGATCCCAACCATGCCCCAGCCCCTGCTCCAGCCCTGGCATCAGCCACCTCTCCCCTCCCCAGGCACCCTGGGCCGCTGCTCCCCAGGAGGTGACAAACCCTCTCCAACACCTGCCTCAGCGGGGGGTCAGCCTGGTGCTCCTGTGCCGCAGACCCCTGTCCTCCTGACATCCCCCAAATCTGCTCTCCAGAGCCTCCCGTGATCCCAACCATGCCCCAGCCCCTGCTCCAGCCCTGGCATCAGCCACCTCTCCCCTCCCCAGGCACCCTGGGCCGCTGCTCCCCAGGAGGTGACAACGGGTGCCTCCATGGCATGATGCCCTGGTGGCGTTGGACGTGGCGTCGGGGCTGCTCCACACTTGTCCTGGCACGATCCTCCCTCCTGAGAAGGAAGAAGGTGATGGGCGCCGGCGAGGCGGGTCGGGGCGCGCTGGCCCCGGGGCCACCTGACAGCCCCGGCTGGGAGCACCCCGGGGCTGGTGTGGGCAACGTTGGGTGTTTTGCCTATCTTGCTTCCGGCATGGCGCGGAGCAGCCGGCGCTACACCAGCTTGGGAACGTCCTTCCCTTGTGCCGCAGGATATGCAGGGACAATGGGTAACGCCGGCTGCCTGGCAAACGCGAGGTCGTGGGTGTCTCATCTGGGTGTGGGGGCTTGAGGGCTCCCAGCTAGCTCCCCCATCACTTCACTGGGGGTGGGAATGTTGGAAAATGCTCCCATGGCTCTGTGGGGCTGGTTGCCGAGTGGGAATGTGAGCGCGCTGCTCCGGTGAGCAGTCTTGCACCCCGTTCTGGGTGTCTCTTGTGGTCCAGGCCCCACTGGCTGGGGAAGGGTGCCTGGGATGGCTTCCCATCATCCTGGCCCCTTGACCTCCCAGGAGGCTGATCTCCCTTTTCCTGGGAGAGAGGAACTTTATATTTGGCCCAAAGGGGTTTTTCATGAACCAGGGGAGGCAAAGTCCCAGTGCCGGGTGTCCGTCACCATGCCGAGGGACGAAAGGTGCTGGGGAAGGAGTGGCCAAAGAAACCGAAACTGGGACCAGAGAAACCACAGCGAAACCTCCTGCACAGCCCACACCCTGCTGCCTCTCAGGGCTCATAAAAACTTGGCTGGTCCTGGCTGCCGAGTGCGGGTGCAGACACCCATGGGTGCACTCTGCCCCATGACGGTGTGGGGGCTCTGCTCTGCGCAGGGCTGAGCAGTGATTTGAGCTGAGCCCTGGGAGGCTGTGTGTGACCATGGTGGAGCAATCAGTGTGTCTGGCACGTCCCCCTGTACTGGCCACCCCTCTCACAGGGGCGATGCCTGCGGTGGCCCTGGGCTCCATAGCCCCTCGCCAGGGGTTTGCCCTCTCGGTGCTGCTCCTGGTGCGAAGGAA